CCCCCGCAGGCCCCTCCTCCTCAGCCCCCTCCGGCTCCGCCCCCTCCCGTCCCGGCTCCGCCCCCTCCGCCTCCTCCTCCCGCGGTCGCCGCGGCCAAAACGTCGCCGCCGCCGTTCGTGGGGGGTCCGGTGGCCGTCCTGGAGCACCCCCTGCCCGGCGCCGTCTTCGACGCCATGGCCCATTTCGGCCAGCCCATGCTGCACCTGCCCCAGGCCGAGCTGGCCACGCCCACGGCGCACCTGGGCCCCGCCCCCGAGCACGGGACCCCGCCCCACCTGGGCCAGCACGTGGTGTCACCTCCAGGTGGGTGAGGGGAGGGGTCTTTGGGGTGGGGACCACCATTGTGGTTTTGTTGGGTGGCCCAAAATTCCATGGGAGGGGTTTTTGGGGTGTGGCCATTGTGGTGTTATGGGGTGTCCCAAAATTCCATGGGAGGGGTCTTTGGGGTGTGGCCATTGTGGTGTTATGGGGTGGCCCAAAATTTCATGGGGAGGGGTTTTTGGGGTGATGGCCACCATTGTGGTTTTGTTGGGTGGCCCAAAATTCAATGGGAGGAGTCTTTGGGGTGGTGGCCACCATTGTGGTTTTATTGGGTGTCCCAGAATTCCATGGGAGGGGTTTTTGGGGTGGTGGCCAAAGTGGTTTTGTTGGGATATCCCGGAATTCCACAGGAGGGTGGTGGGGAGGGGTCTTTGAGGTGGTGGCCACCATGATTTCATTGGGATGTCCCAGAATTCCACAGGAGGAATCTTTGGGGTGGTGGCCACCATTGTGGTTTTGTTGGGATGTCCCAGAATTCCATGGCAGGGGTGTTCAGGGTGATAACCACCACCATGATTTCATTGGGATGGCCCAAAATTCCATGGGAGGGGTCTTTGGGGTGGTGGTCATTGTGGTTTCGTTGGGGTGTCCCAGAATTCTATGGGAGGGGTTTTTGGGGTGGTGGTCATTGTGGTTTTATAGGGTGGCCCAGAATTCCACCGGAGGGGTCTTTGGGGTGGTGACCACCATTGTGGTTTTATTGGGTGTCCCAGAATTCCATGGGAGGGGTTTGTGGGGTGGTGGCCATCGTGGTTTTATGGGGTGTCCCAAAATTCCATGGGAC